AAAGAATACTTAAAAATGGCTGCAACTAATGTACCAAAAGTTTAAAGCCATATTTGAAATTAAAATATAATAAAATAATTATTTTTTGTTTGCTAATTTAATCATAATATACCATTCAATCTTAGCTGTGTGAAATTTTCAAACAGTCCAAATAAAACTGGTATAAAGTTTTATATTACTTGTATTGATTATTTTAATACATACTGTATTGCTACTTATATATTTGAATTAAAATATTAAGAAGTCACACATTGCGATGAATATATTAGATACCGCAACTTCCCTAATTCTTCTCGCCCTTTTAGTAGAATGTTTTTGAATCCTCTAAATACAAGTCAAATTAGTTTGTCTCCTGCTTATAATGAATCAGAATTTATAAATTTACTTATAACTATGGACATAAATGAATCCAGATTATCAAATGCCCTTGCTATGCAATTATTTAATCCAGGTAAAGTTTTTCATAAATGGTAGTTTCTTTAGTCACATTTTATTTATTTTTTTTTTAATAGAATATGATTGGAATGATCCCAATTTTGATAATAATGACCAATTTAGCCGATCACTATTTAATGAGAATAGTTACCTTTTATCACCTGGTTTTGTATATATAACGATATTATTTTAACTTTGTAATTTAGTAATATTGAAACATTATTAAATTATCCATACAGGATTATGAGATACGCTATACTAGGAATATCTGGCAATCATTGCTTAACAAAGTAACCAATTATTTTGGCATTCAGACATCTTATTTTGAAAAAAAGTTTATTCGATCAACAGTCCGTAAGTTTACTCAATCAATAATTCGCAGAAATTTGTTTTATTGAATATTTTATTATAATACATGACCTGATTAAAGATTGTCTTTTATTTGATGTTAATAATAGAAATGCTCCTTTTTAATTACACTCTTGAACCTGGACAGATTCATGTGGAATTCTCTCCAGGAAATTATCTAGTGGAAACACAGAAAGAACTAAAGTAAAATATATTGAATAGTTTATTTTATAATAATTTTATTACACGTAATTAAAAACTTTTAAATAATTTATATATAATAAATAATTCATACAATAGACAAAATAATGTAAGTAATAATCTTTAAAATATTCTTTTTTAAAAAAATTTACCTTATAAATTTACTAATAATCGCAATAATATGTTAGATTTTCAGCATTCTTGCAAACATTTTTGCTATTTACGGAGGTGCTTCAGCTTTATATGTAGTTTTATTTGGTAAGTTTTTTTAAATAGTTGTCTATAATAATTATTTATTCCATGAGTATGTCATTCTTCTCTATAATCTTATTCTTGAAACCATATAAAAAGTTACAATTGCAAATTTTTATGATAATAGCTAAAAAAACAATATGTGAAAGTAAGGAGTGATTATAAAGAAATAATGACCGCATTTGAATATTTTTTTCTGTGTTCAGAAAAGCTTATTTCGAGTAATATTGTATTGTGCCACGTACATACTCTCGTATATGTGTACGTAAATATGAACTAACATACGTATGTACATAATTATAACTCAATTGTTAAGCATAGTACGTACGCAATGAAAATACATTATTATGAATGGTACATCCTGAGCATAGATATTCGACGCTTAGAAAATAATAATATATGCCGTATTGATAATTAACAATCAAAAAATTTCATAGGAATTGAAAAAATCAGTTCATGGGGTATTGTACATAGAGGATACTGTTGCTTTTTCAGAAATATCAAAAAGAAGACTGAAGAGGAAATTAAAAAGAAAATCACAGATGAATTACGATTTGAAAATGAACTTCTGAAAGGAATTAGTTATCTCAAGAATTGTCGTTGACTTTTCCTTAACAGAAAAATGAGATTAATTACAGCTATGAAAATGTGAAATTACAACATGATACATATGGTTATTATTATTACTATTACTATATTAAATATTTTATTTTTATTACTGATTTTGAAATTGGCTTATGTTAAAATTTAAACCTATTTATATGCAAATTTAAATTTTTTTTTGGATATAAATTTATCTTTATACAGTGCAGACAACCTAGTCACAGCAAATAAAAATTTTTAGCGGCCAAATTCAGATTTTATTTTTTATGTATATGAAGAGGCCAATTTGAAAATTTAGCTAATCTTTATATATAAAGTTGCCAAATTTTAAAATTTTAATATATATGAAATTAAATTAATTGTTTAACAGGACTAAATTTGTTTTTTATATATATATAAAAGATAGTCAAATTTCATATTTAATTATAAAATGCTATAACTTTAATCTGCTATAACTTTTTTTATAAATAGAGTTTAAAAATATTTAAAAACTTGGAAATGTTTAGCTT